CTGTTGGTACTTTTGAAGCGCGACGACAGCATGAGGGGCCAAAAGTGACGACAGTTACGAGGATGGAGGCTTTGCGGCTCCAAAAACGACGACAGTTACGAGGATGGCGACCCTGACGGGGCTGATCCCTGTGACTGTTGGCACTTTTCAAGCATATCAAGGGGGGGGGTGGCAGGGGGGATACCATTGGGGGGGGGGGGGCTGGGAACGCAGAGCGCAGAGCGCAGGACCATATATCCCTAAGGGTCCGAGTACCCAATAAAACCCCAGAACCTATACTATAGTTGCTATTGCCCATATCCCAAGTACCCATTTATGCGGTACTTGGACCTTCTGGGTATATATATATATATATGGGCAGCTTCGTTTTCGTGATCCATACTCTTGTTCATTTGATTCTCGGCTGTTCAAATTCCATAGGCCCCTAAGCCCCTAAACCTAAACACTACAGGTCACCAAACACCCCCCCCCACAATCCTGAACCCCACTAAACCGTAAACTTAAAACCCTACGGCCTACATCTTGATCCCTGAGCCCCTGCTGTAGTGCTGCAATCAGACTTCCAGGCGCCTAAGCACTGGCAATCGCATGCTAGGGCCGCTGGGCTTGCCTTAAGGTAGGGCTTGAGGTTCAGAGTTTACGGTTTAGGGTTGAGGGGGGTTCGAATTTAGGGTTAAGGGCTTAGGGTTAAGCCTTACTGGTGCATAAGGGCGAATGCATACAGGTTGTCGGGTCTGGGGACTATGAGGGGGGTTACCTGATTGGTGCTAGACGAGCAGAGCATATGAGTTCTACTGTTGACACTCAAAATCCTGCATGACCTTCCTAAGTATGCTACAGTACCACGATTTCCAAGATTTAATGTACTTAGCGTCATGCAGGATAATTAGTATTCACTGTAGAAAAAAGGGCTTAGGGTCTCGGACTAGGTCACCACAAACGGTGCTTTATGTACAAGATGGACAAAGGTTAGCTTGATTTCCAACCCTAAACCCTGAGCCCAGATTTTGAAGTTGACATGAAACTGCCAGGGCTTGGGGGCTTAGATGCATTGAACGGGCTTAGGGTTTAGGGTTTAGGGTGAACCCTGTCCCTGTACACTTTTCCCCTTCTTTTCCCTGTTATCCTATGGGATTTAGTTTTGAGATGACTTCGCCCTGCAATTCAGAAGTACCAGCGCTTGTTGCAGTCACTTAGAGTTTAGATTTTAGGTTCCTCTTTTGTCATTCAGGTTTAAAAGTATTGAAGGTTTAGGCTTTAGCGGCATCCCTGGGCAACTGTAAGTCCATCTTGTCTCGAGAGTTGCGTCTCGTGTTCAGCGTGGATCCAAAGTTGAAACCCCTTGCAGACCCACACTGCCCCTTATGTAATTCCTGTAAGTTACATGTGTTTTGTGTGTCGGTCCCCTTTCGCCCGGACGTAGGGAAGTCAGCTTATAGGCAATGATGGAAAACGTGGAGAATGAAATGGAGACTGGGATTAGATACTGGTTTATAGGCTTGAGGGTGGAGAGAAAACCAAATTTTACCGAGGTACTCTTGTGTAGTTTCTGTAACGATGATTATCCACATTATTCTTCATCACTCTTAGTATAGATGAAGGCTAGGTTCGCAATGTACTTACTCAGTGCAGGTCAGATTATTCAGTGACGAGGTAGACCTGAGGGCGCCCCACCAATAGGGCAGACCCTCTGGGCTTCGTACCCTAAACCCGAAAACTTAAATCCTGAACCCTACATCCTAAACCCTAAATCCTAAACCCCAAGCCCCAAATCGTAAATCCTAAACTCCTTAAGTCCCAACCCCTCAAACTAACTAGTCCTTCCCACCGGGGCTGTCCTACTTGATGTTACTCAGGGCGTTAAGGGTTTAGGGTTCAGGGTTTAGGGTGTCAAGGTCTAGGATTTAGGGTTCAAGGCTTAGGGTTTGTGGCTTAAGGTTTATGAGGTTTAGGCATGACGGTTTAAGGTTTAGGTGTAGGGTTTAAGGTGTAAAGTTTAGAGTTTAGGGCGTTTAGGATATACGGAGTTTAGGGTTTCGGAGGGTTTGCCTAGACCACCCCTAAACCCTAAACCCTAAACCCTAAACCAGGATACCTAAACTTTGGGTGCCAGGATCTCCTGTATACAAGAGTAGGTACCCTCAAACAGGGGCCTGGGGTTAAGGGGGTCAGAGTTTAAGGTTTTTGGGTTTAAGGTTTGGATGTAGGGTTTAGAGTTTAGGAGTTTAGGCTTTAGGCTTTTGGGTTATAGAGGTCTAGGTAGTGAGGGAGGTTTAGGAATTGAGGTTTCGGGTATGGGGCCTGGGGCCTAGGATTCAGGGTCTAAAGTTTTGGAGTTCGTGTCTAGGGTATTCAGTCTCGGGGCTCGGGATTTAGGATTCGGATTTAGGCTGCGGGATTTTGGTTTTGTGGTTGATGGCTTGATACGCATCGGGAAGAGGACTTGAAGCTACAGGCATTGCGTTTTACGACTTAGTAGGTAGATGTTTACTGGGACCCATGATTTAGTACCCATACCAGCAGCCAGACTTCGAAGATAATCGATGAGCTGCTCGTTGACTGTGCTCCATCATGCCTTTCAGTAGTCCATGGAAAGAGGCATGCGGGTATAGGGTTTAATTATGGATTTGGGGTCTGAGATTTGCAGTCGGGTGCAATAGCTTGGCCAAGGTCAGAGAGAGAAGATGAAGCCGCGACGTTTAGGGTTCAGGGCTTACAAGGCTTAGGACCCAAATAGTGGACTCATGATTTGTAATGCCCTAAGGCAAAATCTTTGCTTTGTTGAGGATGGACACGGACTTCTACAAGGCGTTCTCGTACCGGAAGGTGTGGCTGTTGCAATCGAATTTGGTTTCTTAAAGGTTTCCTAAACTTCACTTGAAACGTGGGGTTTCCAACAGCTTTGGCGCTTCTAAATTCAAAGGGGAGCTGGGAAGGTGTAAGGGAGGGCGGTGTCTAGGATAGATAGAGAAGGGTTTAGGGTAGATAGAGAAGTCCCATAAACCATGAGCCCCAAACCCTCATTCCTAAACCCCTACCCCAAGAGTAGTTCCCAAAAAAAACAGAACCCTGCATCCTACACCCCAGGTATTCACAAAGTCCCAAGAAACTCCCAGTAAGGATGCACAGGGGTTGCACTCGGGATGCTACCGTCCCAGCTGACAAGTTTAAGGTTTAGGGTTTAGAGTTCAGAATTTGAGCAGGATGCAGAAAGTCACCCATGGACGATTGTATAAAGGGCGATCCCAAAATTTGACGTGAGCTAGTGTCTAAACTCCTAGTATCCCCCTTCATAACCCCCATAATAGTCCCCTGTATAATGCCCTATATAACCCCCTTTAAGGAGTTTAGACTAAAGCTCACGTCAACATAGTAAATTTCTTATTATGAGGACCCCTCCCTCCCTTCCCCCCCACCACAAACAGAAAGCATCCCAAATCTCTGAACGAGACCTGCTGGGCTCTGAGCTGTCCCAGGCTCTGATACCCAGACCCCGTAAAGGATCCAACAAATGGAACCCCTTACAGGGGTTTATAGGGGTCTATATAGGGGTATATAGGGTTTAGGGATTAGGGTTTAGGGTTTAGGATACAAAAAATGGAACCCCCCCAATATGAACCCATTACTACATTGGGGAACCTAGGGGATTATTAAGGGGTTCCATTTTTTTGATCCTTTAGGGGGTCTGGGTAGGAGTTAGAAAGACTCCCAGCTTTAACATGGGGGGGCCATTACGGGAGTATAGGTTGGGTACTGTCCCCCCTGAGTAACAGTTGGATAATAATTAAAAACTTCTAATATGGTTATATATAGCCCTTAATAGGACCCCTAATATAGACTGTTACTGGATGGGGGCAGTAGCCAAATTATAGGAGTTGTAAAGCGGTATACTGGGGTTACATATAGGGTGTGCCAGTAACAGACAGCCAAGTGAAAAATGGAATATTGCATGGAAAGCGTTGCTGTACAGGGGTCGAGTGGGATGGTTACCAATATCAAGTATGGTTCGATTCAGACTCCCTGCCGTAGATGGGTAAGGGTTGTCTCATGGCTTCATGAGTCTAACCCTAAGCCCTAAACCCCCCAAAACTCAACCCTGGCCGAGTTCCTCACCACTACACAGGGGGAGTTCGAAAGCTTAGGAGTACCTCTTGGGGTGTCCCCATATAGTACGGATTCTAGTTGTGGGGCTCCTAAACCCTAAATGCTCTATTTTAGGGGAAACTACCATCTGTGAGCCGCTATGCTCTAAAGCTGAACGCAATGGCCAAGCACTAAAACCTCAACCCTAAAAGTAAAAGGTCTTGGATTTTGGGTTTTGGGTTCTTGCTCTAAACCGCACACCAATCCCAAACCCCAAACCCTGAGGGTGTATTCTGCAGAAAAGGCCTCCGCTCCCACAAGCTCCCGAAAGCGAACCCATAGACTTGAAAACCCTAAAGTTCTAAACCCTAATCCCTCAACCCTAGGCCCTAAACCCTAAACCTTGATCCCTCAACCCTAATCCCTCAGCCCAACCCCCCTAAACCCAAAACCCTAAACCCTGTTTGCAGGACGGCTCCCTTGTTGGCCGCTTATGGTCCAACCTTCCCTCCGCGCTATCCGAGATTGCAGCTTGGTGGGACTTTCGTAGATGCCAAATTCTAGCGACCAAATGGTGATATGGACTTAGGGTTTAGGATTTGGGCTTAGAGCTAAGGGTATGGAATTAAACAAAAAAACAGCTGTTGGGACTTCTACATTTCTAGCATGCTAACAGTTGTGGGTGTCCGCTTTGTTCACCCTTCATGCCAAATCCCAAAAAGGGTCGAAAGAAGGACAAAGTAGACTCTAAAAAAGCTCTTACTACATCTTATTTGTGTGTAGTTTGGGGGAGGAGCAGTGCAGGGGGAGGGTTAAAAACCCTACAGTACGTTCTACAACGTAAGCCCTCAGCCCAGAACCCTTCATCCTAAACCCGAAACCCTTCATCCTAAACCCGAAACCTTTCATCATTTAGCCTAAACCCTCCTTGGGACTTAGCTTAGACCCTTATCCCTTTGGGATTCCCTTATACTCCTAGTATACGTACCTAAGGGTTAACCCGTAGTAAGGGTCCTAAGTGCCACGTAGAACCCGAAATCCTAAGCCCTAGACCGTGCATGGGATCCCAGCAGCTAAGGCAGCCACACTGCAGATGCGACAGGAGGGCAGGCCAACGTGTCGTGGGCTTGCCCTCACCTGGGCCAATTATAGGGTTTAGGGGGTTCTGAGTTCAGGTTTAGGGTTTCGGTTTCAGGGTTTAGGGTGTAGCGTTCAGGGTTTAGGTATTAGGGTTTAGGGCCCAAGCATGCTTCGGTAGGGGTTCGGTAGGGGCATGGCCTTGCTGACGCTGAAGGGGGAGAAAATACAGGTTTGAGGAGTTTAGGATGTTTAGGACTAATAGTCCCCCTTAAGATATCACCAGAATTTCGGAGGTCTGAGGGTACCTAGGGACATGTCCTGAATGCTAAACCCTCTATATCCATATATGGGTTTGGGGTCTCGGGCTTAGGGTTTAATATCTCGGGTTTAGGGTTTCAGGCTTCGGGCCACTCTCGCCCCTGCGGTCGGAAACACGTAAACACCGAAATGCCCTCCAAAGCCAGAACCTTTAAGCATTCAAATGACACTCGGAAAAAACAACACCCTAAGAACAGCTTAAGTGAGAATTTCTAGAACTCATGCACGAACCCGTAGGTCATGAAACAACAACGAAAAACGCCTTGAACCTCAGAATGTTTAAGCGAAAGCAGAAACCGTAGATCCTGAACCCTAAGCCCCTCAACCCTACACCCTACCCCCCCAACAAAAATGCCCCAGAGCCATGACTTGTAGGGTTTAGGGCTTAGGGTTTAGGATTTGGAGTTAGAGTTCGTGCAATTTCTTAAATACTTGCCCATTCTATTCTCCCAGAAACCTGATACATCCCTGTATATCCTTATATATCCCTCTATCCCCTAAACCCTAAACCCTTATATTTATATATATATGTATATATATATATATACACATACCTCTCTCTATCTCTCCTTCCTTAGAACCCCTCCTAAGCCCGGGCAGGAAGCAGTGGATCACCGAGGGCATAGCATACCGCTCCCGGCTGAAGACCGCCCGCAGGGCGCGTGCACCTAAGCCGCACTATATGGGAGGTTGTCAAAATTATGGTCCCTTTTGGGGTACCCTAAATATTAGGTGCCGTATTATAATAGGGATCCAAAAAGGGACCATAATTTTGACAACCACCCATATTCGTAATTCACTAAACCCTAGGTCCTAAACCCTATAGCCCTTAAACCATATTCCCGGTTTAGGGTTTGCGGTCTAGGGTTTGGGGGGTCCCCATGAACCCCCGCAAGAAAGGTGAGGGCTAAGGGTTTAGGGTAAGACTTATAGCGCTCTTGTGGTCTATCTTAGAGCCCGTACTTGTGAAAACCCCCATGGGCATAGTGTAGTCGCCAATATAGAGTGAGTTTGAAACCCTCCTTTCAATTATGCCATCTTTTTAAGAAGACTACTGTCCTGCCCTATCCAGGCGCCAAAAAAAACGCAGCGCACTTACTCGTTTTAGCCTTTTTTTTTACTAGGGATCTCCTGAAAACAGTATTCAGTTGTTGCAACTAGCCCGCCCAAAGACGGCTGAAATTACCTGTTGGGAGGTTTAAGGGCAGATGGAGCATAGTTTCGGTTTTGTGTAAGTCTTCAGATAAGCAGAGTACTTTGAGTCTCCAAAATACGTAATACAATTTTTGCAGGGCCTGCCTTTTTGAGGCTGCAAATCCTAAACTTTAGAGTCCAAACCCCAAGACTTACCCCTACAACGTAAATCCATAACCTCAAATTAAACGCGATGCCTTAAACCCAAAACCTTAAACTTACGTAAATCCATAACCTCAAATTAAACGCGATGCCTTAAACCCAAAACCTTAAACTTTACATCGGAGTTTCCAGAAATGGCGAAGCCCAAATATAGACCCAGCCACACTACATACCACAGTCCTTGTAGAAAAGGATGATGGATGAACCCAAAAAGGGGCCCTTCATTCCGGGGAACCCCTCTAAACCCTAAACTCTAAACCCTAAATCCTAAACCCCAAACCCTAAATCCCAGGTTCGTGAGCTGGAGAAGAACAAGGTGCAAATTCCCAGCAAAGAGGAAGGCCGCCCACAGCCATAGAGTCTAGGGTTAAGGGTTTAGGGTTTAAGGTTGAGGGTTAAGGGTTTAGGGTTGAGGGCTGGGTTGAGGGTTTAGGGTTCAGGGTTTAGGGTTTAGGGTTGAGGGTTTAGGGTTGAGGGTTTAGGGTTGAGGGTTTAGGGTTGAGTTTTTAGGGTTTAGGGTTGAGGGTTTAGGGTTAACAGAAACCCCCTCGGCTTCAGGGTCGATGCTCTACCAGGCCAGCTAGGGGCATTATTAGTAGGAGTACATGCCGTGCTATAAGTAGTTTTGTCCCATGAACCTAAACCCTAGACCCTATAAGTAAGAGCCCAGCCATCATCAATCACTACGTCCAATTTACCTCCACGACTCGTCCACGACAAGCTGTTTGCGGGACGGTCTAAGGCTAATGGTTGCGGGTAGAAGGGTTTGCGGCTTTTGGGTTAAGAGCTTACTTCAAGTTCAGGGCTGCGGTTGAGGGTTAAGAGCCTACTGCGGTATGGGTACTGGGGGTTATAGAGGGTGGAGAGCACCATGAAAAAGAGCAAGGGACATCTAACGGAAACTTTGATTACAGGGGGGGGTTGAAGTGTTTAGGGGTTAGACATCCTCTATAGCTTTTGGAGTATGAGCTGCTCCATTGAACTGTACAAAAATCTTCCTTTCTTCCCATGGAATGGGACCATGTTTAGGTGGGTAGCTTGCAGGTGAGTTGCATCCATAGTACCCTCGAAGGAAAATCCACCTTCAGGGATTTGTAGGTGAAGGCTATGGGAGACGACAAACTTTGTAACCACCAACGTATCGGTTAGGGTTTCCCTAAACCCCAAACACTAAACCTTAAACCCTAAGCCCTAAACCCAATCCCTGTTGGCACCAGCAAACCTCAGCATGATTGGTATATGGATTAAAACTTCTATACTCTAATAAACGGATATATATATATATATATATATTCATGCTATAATTGCTATATAGAAACCAAGTTAACTTGGAAGTATCACCAAATTTGAGGCCTACGCTGCTGGCGTTCGGGAAGAGGGCCTTGAGTTGCTTGAGGCCATGATCGAGCCTGAAGCAGCAGGTGCAGATGGTGAGGCAAGTGCGGAGCCTGCGGCCATGGAGCAGCCCTTGGACGAGGTACCCTTTGAGGAGGAATCCGAATCACAGAAGGGCAAGGACCCAGCTCCGAGGGACAAAAAAATCATGGGCAAGAAGGACAAAGTGAAACCACTCATTAACAGCATATGTTTGTATAAAGCCCTTAATATGACCCCTACTATACACTGTTGATGGGTGGGGGCAGGACCCAAGACATACCCCTAAACCCTAATCCCTGAACCCTAAACGCTTAACCCCTAAGCCCTAAACCCTCAAACCCTAAACCCCTCAACCCAAAAGCCCTAAACCCCTAAACCCTCAACCCCTAAACCCTAAACCCCTCAACCCAAAAGCCCTAACCCCCTAAACCCTAAACCCCTTTAGCGCAGGCTGCCTCTGCCGAGAGAAGTGGTCCGGCTTCGGGTGGCTCAGCGTCTTCCCACGCGCGGTGCAATACGAAGGCAAAAGGGGGAATTTTCTTAGGGTTTAGGGGTTAGGATTTAGGGCTTAGGGTTTAGGACTTGTGCCCCTAGGGTTGTACCCCTGGGTTTTTGGATCCTTTTAAGGGACTCCTGGGGGCCACCTGGGCTCATATCAGGGGTATAGTAGGGCTATATTGGGGCAAGTACGACCTTGCGGGTACAACCCTGCAACCCTTGACTTTACAAACAAAAAATGGTGGTGTGCTTGCGTAAAAAGGGTTTCTCAGGTATTCTATATTTTCTGAGAAAATGCTTCAATTTAGGCTATACCTGCGACCTGAACAGCCCTAAAGATACATCCAGAAATTTACGATCGAGGGCTTAAAGAGTTTGCCCAAAACGTGGGGAACCCCGAGAGGTGCTAGGGTGGGAAATGAATTTTCAGCAGTGAACAGGTCAGGTGCGGCCCTCGTTTGGAAGGTTTTTGTGCAGGTGTTGAAAAATCCTCTAGTCCCCTAGACCCTCCATCTAACCCCAACCTCTGATTAATAACCCCCCTCCCCTTAATAGGGACTATAATAGGGATCCTAATATATAGGCCCTTAAAAGGAGGGGGTTTATCAATCATGGGTCTACATTACCCTCTTTATCCCCTGACAAGGGACCATATCCTCCTATTTACGGTGTACAGGGGATCGTACAGGGAGGGTCCTGGACTGTATTCTGCACCCTAGACCCAGCTTTCACCTAGGTCTCATGTCAGTGGGGGGGAGGCATTGGTGGAGGGACTGGGGCTCATACAGCCGAGTTTGGTCATGAAAACTCGCCACATAAACCCTAAAGCCCCAAACCCTTACCGTCCCCACTCCAGGCTAGCTTGGGGCACAAAGCCAGCTGAACCTTAAACCCAAAGCCCTACGCTCTGAAACTGCAAGCCCAAACCCTACACCCAGAACCCAAAGCCCTACGTCCTGACACCGAAGCCCTAATGGTGTGAGAGCCGTCAGTTTCTGCAGCTCTAAAACACACTTTACCCTGAAATCATGCAATATTATACCTTGCGCTTCCGTAAAGTACCAGACAACCTGAACAAGTTTCCCCTCACCACCTTGCCTCTTGCTCCATTGGTTCAATGTTAGTGAGGGGAGGACAACAGCGACTTATGTGTATTGTTTACAAATTCATGGCAGCAGTACAAAAGCCAGAGATGCTTCCAAACCGTGTCTCACATCACGAGAAGTTTGCGAAGACGACTTCATCTTGCATACTCACACAAATGTGGATCGGAATTGTTTAGGCCTCCAAGACGGGACCCATAGAATGGAAAGGGACAATGTGCCCTTTCTCCAACCGATTATGGGTGCCCATAGATGCCCATGTTACAAGGACGGTAGTGTTGTAGAGTGAATCCCGAAGCCCCAAGCTCTACATCTGCAACCCTTCCCATCAGCCTCCAATCTCCAAAAACCCTGAAACCATGGAATCCAAGACCCTAAACCCCAAAATCCAAGCCCGAATCCTCATCCTTCTTCACCCTGTTTGTGGGGAGAGGGCTACAGTACCCTCAAGCAGATGCCAGAAAGAGAGAGATTGTTTGTGCTGAATCAAATTGATCCCTCCAGCTAACATGGAAACCCATATCCCTAAACCCTAAACCGACTCATATACTTCCTTTCTAAAGGGATTAGTCTCAAAAGGACCAGTTTTGGGTTTCCATGGTAGTTTTCGGGAGGGTATTCTTGCCCAGTTTGGCCTCAACCCTAAACCCTATAACCCTAAACCTTAAATCCTAAGTCCTAAACCTTTTCATCCTAAACCCTAAACCCTTTGGCCGCACGGAGGTTGCGTGAAGCTCAAGAACAAATGGCTTGCCGCCAAGAGCAACACGAGCCACCTATCTGACTGTGGGTTATATGAGCTATAGTCTTCTAAACTCCTTTAAGGGGGTTATATAGGGGATTAAATAAGGTTTAGGGTTTAGGGATTGGGGTTTAGGGTCTAAAAACCTTAAAGGGTGTTATATTGGGCACTGTTATAGGGGCCATTAGGGGGATACTAGGAGATTAGACTGTAGCTCATATAAGGTTTATAGGATTCAGGGCTGTAGGGCTTAGTTAGGGTTTAAGGGTTTTGAGGTTGAGGGTGATTTCGGGTTTAGGGCTTAGGGTTATAAGGCATCTGACTGAGGGCGAGGGTTTATAGGATTTAGGGTTGTAGGGTCTAGGGTTATAGGGTTTTGAGGTTTAGGGTCAGTTAGGGTGTAGGGGTTTTGGAACAGAAGTATTATTGCTTACTCTCGCAAAGCCCTTCAGACGTATTTGTGAAGGCATATTCTTGAAGAGCCCTGAAACCTACCTTAACTTGGTGGAGCTTTACTACGAGATTAGCACTTTATATCTTTTGGGGTGAGGTTCCTCTTTTCCATATTATGGGAGCTGGAAGTTCAACCTTTTTGGGTGGGAATAAAAAGGTTTTAGTCTTTATGCACGGTTCAGGGGTTCAGGGTTTTAAGTGTTTTGACATGTTTTGACGTTTGGGGTTTACCAAGCAAAGCTAAGGCTAGAAACAAATAGTTGCTCATAAAAAATCGTTCAGGGTTGTTCTAAAGGTCCTTGACTTCAGGTTATACATGGCGTAACCATTCTGGAAACAGGCTCCGCAAAAGTTTCTCAAAAGAAGACGCTAAAAGAAAACACTTTCCATGAATTTCTGTAGAAACAGTTTTGAACAACCAGGATGTGTTGTAGATGAGGCTCCTCGCCTGGCAAGTTATTGGAACAACCATTTTGTTTCTGCTTGTTTGGTCACCCGAGTAGGGTTTGTAGCCTCTAGACCCTTAACCCTACACCTGAAAGTTTATGGGCTTCTTTGCTAGGTCAGCGTTGAGAATCTATGATGCTTTCTGGGGCATGGGGTTCTTACCACAAAAATTGAAAAGAGTCTTTTGGTACACCAACCCCAGTGATATAAGGATCCTAAAACAAGCTGTCACAGTCAGAGGGTCCAAAATCTCGAGGTTGGAGTTATCGAAATCCTAAACCCTAAACCCTAAATCCTCTCATTCGGAAAGATTTTTTGTTCTGCAGGGGTAGGAGGTGCAAAGGCTTAGGAGCTCGCGGATAAGGGCTTGGTTGTTTAAGCTTACTAGTGGGTAGTAGGGAATAAAGGAATATAATCCCTAGGTGGTAGTTTCCCTAAGTAGGGGGACCCCCATATAGACTTATACATAGACTTATAGGAAACCCCAAGAAGGTTATCGCGCTAAGGGTTTTGCGGGTTCGGACGGTTTCAGGGTGGAGGTGGGGGGGGGAGGTTGGTGTTTAGGGCTTCCAGGCCCAAACACCTAAATCCTAAGCCCCAAACCCTGAACCTGAGATCCCTAAATAGGAAAAGACGCAAGCCCTAAATCCCAAACCCTAAACCCAAAGCTCTAAATCCTAAATCCTAAACCGGGTTCAGGGCTCACGGACTGGGATTTGCTGGAAGGAAAGTGGGGATCGAATATGGGTGCCGTTGTCTCCTATCCCCTTAGGAATGGGGAGTTGTAGGTGTCTGCATAGATGTTACCGAGGTGAAAGACTCACAGCCCAAGACAGCCCAAGCTTTTCCAACATGAGCTGCAGTCCAAACTCCTTAAAGGCGGTTGTAAAAGGGGTCATAAAGGGGAGCATTATAGGGTTTTTGTCAAGGGGGGTACTCGGCGTTTAACTATAGCTCACATAGCCCACGCAGTTTGGGGTTTAGGGTGTTGGGGTTTAAGCCTCTACCGCTCATTTCGAGGATCACTGCAAACGAATTGGGTGATGCACCTTCACGCCTAGACATATCCCTGAGCTTTACGTGGGTGTGTACCCTGTACTAGACTCTAAACCCTAAAACCCTAAACCCCTAAACCCTGAAGCCTGTATATGTTGAATCTGTCTCCGGGCTTCTTCGATCTTGGTCTCAGGCTCTCGGGGAAACTGCTTGAAAACAAGAGGCTGCGCCCCAGAAACACGACCAGGGACAGGATATAGTAATAGGGTTTAGCGTGTAGAGTTTAGGGTTTAGGACCCAGAAATATAACAGCAGACAAGATCTAGTGATGAAGTTGGGTCGTTACATATGGGCTTACTTAGGAACAGCGGTGAGTCGATGCATTGGGACCTTGCTCTTGCTTCATGGAAAAGGTAGTAGACATACCTGACATTGAAACGGGCATAGCTAGTCCTTATGAGGCCCTTTCAGGGCTTCCATGTTGGCTGGGGAGAGGGGTAAGCCCCTAATCTCTAAAACCTATAACCTCTAGTCCCTTAAACCTTGAACTTACACCTTGAAACCGACATCTTAAGACGCTAATTGAATCCTAAGCGCAGCGCCGTAAAACAGCCACGCGCTTAAGGGTTCAGGACGTAGGGTTCTAAAACCCCCTGAACCCAACGCCTCAAGAGCAAACCTTTAACTTGAAACTCTCTGAATGCCAAATCCCTAAGACCCGCTGAATCCCAAATCTTAAGCCAAAACCCCCTATTAAACTCGAACCCTCAACCCTGCTAAACCCTGGCCCCAAAACCCTTAAACTGCAGCCCTAAATCCTAGCCATAAATTTCAACCGTGGACTCTAAACTCTAAACTCTATCTACACCCTGAAGTCTTTACTCCTTGAACCATTAACTCTAAACCCTAAACTCCCTAAGCGTCCTGATCCCTACCCCAAACCCTAACCCTACGCCAAGACCCTCAACCCTAGACCCTAAACCTTCAACCCTTATCCACAAACCCCTTGAGCCTGCCATGAGCCATCGTCTAAACTCCTAGTATCCCCCTTAGTAACCCCCCTATAGTAGTCCCCTATATAATCCCTTATATAACCCCCTTTAAGCAGTTTAGACTATAGCTCATATCGAGGCTGGGATGGCATCTGCAAGACAAAGCAGGCCATACTTCGATAGGGGAGGTACCTTGCTTGGAGGTTCATGGGACTTAGTAACTATTTACAACTGGGGTTATAACCCTACTTATAATTGGGGTAACCCCTATAAGGCCATTTAGGGGGGTTA